AACTATCCCTAAACCCTCGACCCAGAACCCTAAACGGTAAACCCTGAACCCTGAACCCAAAACCCCTAAACCCTAAACCCTAAACCCTGAACCGTAAACCCTAAACCCTGAACCCCTAATCCCTAAACCCTAGACCCGAAACCCTAAACCCTAGACCCTAGACCCTAAATCCTAAACCCTAAAACTAACCCTAAACCCTGAACCCTAAACCCTGAACCCTAAACCCTAAACCCCCAAACCGTAACCCCTGAAACCCTAAAGCCCTAAACCCTAAACCCTAAACCCCTAAACCCTAAACTCTAAACCCCTAAGCCCTAAAACTAACCCTGAACCCCTAAACCCCATGAGCCCAGGAATGGACCCTTTCGGGGCGGCGCTGTCCGAAGAGTTTGGGCCCAGGGTGGAGGGGTTCGATTGCACCCTTGGTCAAGGTAAGGGGTTTAGGGTTTTTGGGTTTAGAGTTTTAGGGTTTTGGGGTTTTGGGGTTTTAGGGTTGAGGGCTTTGGGTTTAGGGTTTCAGGGTTTTGGGGTTTGGAGTTTAGGGTTTTAGGGTTTTAGGGTTTTTGGGTTTTAGGGGTTGAGGGTTTTAGGGTTTTTAGGGTTTTAGGGTTTAGGGTTTTAGGGTTTTGGGGTTTGGAGTTTAGGGTTTTAGGGTTGCAGGGTTTAGGGCTCAGGGTTTAGACTCTGAGGTTTCTGTTTGTTGGTTCGTGCTTTTGGTGTTGAAGGTTTAGGGTTGGGGTTTAGGGTTTAGGGTTGTTTTGGGTTCAGGGTTTGGGGTGTGTTCAGGGCTTGGGGGGTTTACGGTTTCGGGTGGAATCCTTTGTGTTTTTGTTTCAAGGGTTTGGGGTTTTTGCGGTGTGCAAAGAGAGCGCCTGAAAGAGATCCTTTCTTTTTTCCTTCCTAACGTGGACCCAGGTACCGGGGTTCCGTACAGCTGCCCAGCGACTCTGACAAAATGCCGATTCAACTTCAATCCTCTCTGTCTCGGAAAGCCTTTTGGAGGCAAGCCCGCATCGCAGTTCCTGAGACCTGGCTGGTTTAGCCATATCTGCTTGTCGGCTGGGTTTGTGCCCAGAGACGGTAGCACCAGGGTGGTGCCCTGAGCCCTCAACCCCTCAACCTCTCAACCCCTCAACCCCTAAACCCCTAAACCCCTAAACCCTAGAACCCTAAACCCTAAACCCTAAAACCCTACACCCTAAAACCCTCAACCCTCAACCCTAACCCCTAAACCCAATTCCTAAACCCCTAAACCCAAAACCCCTAAACCCAAACCCCTAAGCCATAAACCCAAAACCCCTAAACCCAAAACCCCTAAACCCAAAACCACTAAACCCAAAACCCACAACCCAAAACCCCTAAACCNNCCCTAAACCCCTAAACCCTACACCGCGGAAGCCCCTGAGGAGCCTCGCTGAAATCCTCGATCGGTTTGCCAAGCCGTCGGATGAGATGCTGCTGAAGATCGACTGCGAGGGCTGCGAGTGGAACGTGCTGCCCGAGATTCCATCCGAGGTTTCGAATCTAAGATCATGTGCTATAGAGGCTTTAATAGATACCTATACTATTTTTTTTTTTT